AATGGATCAGTGGATGATCCAGTGACTGATAGTGATATTAATGTTGATTCATGTTCCAGGAGTGAGAGGAGGGAGAGTGAAGGAGGAGGAGGAGGTCATAGGTCACTGCAGGTTGGGTTTGTAATACCTGCAGTCATACCAGAGACTATACTGTAAATAATGATAATAATGATAATGATGATACTTTGTTTGAAATTTATCTGAATTATACTGTGAATGTACGTACAATTAATATTTTTATCAAATTACAATATAGATCTATTTGTATATTTGCTGTAAAGCAAGAGCATGGTGATCTACTGTTCCTGTAAATGTAATTGTAAATAATGCATTGTCTTATGATAGCCTTATTAAGACGGGTGGTTATTGTGAACTGACCAATGAAATTGAAGGACCAGAAGTGAAGACTTGAAGTCAATGAAGTGTAGCTGTGCTGACCTTTTGCTTTCTGATAGTTGTCTCTCTCCTCTCGGCGCCAGCTCCTTACTCTCATTCCCTTGGCCTCTCATTGATTAGGAATGTTTTAATGATGGAGGAATGCGCGGATGTATTTGAAAGAAGAGATCATAAAGAAGCTGTTCGGTTACTACGTTTACAGGATCCTAATTTACTTTACCGGGATGAGCCTTACCTGCTTTATTTTTCTATAAGTAATGGCTGGTTAGATATTACAAGAGAACTCATCAAAAAATATCACTTTAGTCCACATGGATACTACTACTATTCTGGTCAACCCTGTCTTCCACATGGATACTACCTTTATGTAGCTGCTGAAGGCAATCACGTGAATATAGTTGAATATCTTATTAAAGAGTGTGGCTGTGATCCAATGATGAGGAGTACTACTAGGTATGGCAGTGTCCCTTTTCTTCATTATGTAGCTAGTGAAGGATTACTTGATGTCTTGAAGTGTATGGTCATGAATATCAATGGTCATATAATGGATGAACAATATCGTGATACTAATGGTCGGACTGTTCTTCATTGTGCTGTTAAACATATAGATGTTGTAAAGTACCTCATTAATGAGTGTAACTGTGATATAATGACCACTAATAAATATGGAAAAACTATTCTACATGATGTAGCAAGTAAAAGATTACTTGATGTCATGAAGTACCTCATCAATACTCATCACTATCCAATGACTACCAACAATAGTGGTCAGATTGGTGCTGTCAAACACATAGATGTTGTGAAGTACCTCATTAATGAGTGTAACTATGATATAATGACTCGTGATAAAAATGGTGTCCCTTTTATTCATTATGTAGCTAGTGAAGGATTACTTGATGTCTTGAAGTGTATGGTCATGAATATCAATGGTCATATAATGGATAAACAATATCGTGATACTTATGGTCAGACTGTTCTTCATTGTGCTGTTAAACACATAGATGTTGTAAAGTACCTCATTAATGAGTGTAACTGTGATATAATGACTCGTGATAAATATGAACAAACACCTCTTCATTGTGCTGCCAGGTTGGGTACAGCTCAAGTTGTTAAATTTTTACTGTCGGCAGGCAATTGTGATCCTTTGGCTAAAGACAATGAGGGGAAGACACCATTACAACTAGCTAAAGTGAGAGGGCATGATAGTGATACTGTCATTGCTATCTTCAAGAAGTTTGGTGACATTAAAATATCTCATCCAATTGATTCTTATGTTAACGTTCTCCTTGTGGGTAATCCTGAAGCTGGTAAAAGTACTCTTAGTCATGTCATCAATGACACAGCTACTGGCCCTTTTGTTCTTGGTTCCTTTAGAAATGTTGGAGGGGTAGTGCCCTGTACTGCTGGCATCATTCCTTATAAAATACAACACAGGACACTGGGTAACATCATTCTTCATGATTTTGCTGGTCATTCAGAATACTACTCCAGTCACAGTGCTGTCATTGAGAATCTGTTACAAGGCTCTGGTAGTGTGTTCCTGATAGTAGTGAATATATTGGAGAAGGAAGCAGTCAAACAGCTTCATCAGTGGCTAACAGTTGTGAGGAATGAAGCACAGAAAGCTCTTAATCAATGCCATGTTATTGTAATAGTCAGTCATGTGGATGAGATAAGTAATCCTGTTGAAAGGAAGAGAAAAGAAGAAATACAGGAGACTATTATAAAGGAAAGGTGTGATAGTGTCTTTTTAGATTGTCGTAAGCTTGGTGGGAGTGGTGTGGATTCCTTCTTTCATAAGTTGTCTAGTGCTTGTGAGTCAATTCGTAGTTCAAGTGGAAGGAATTTGAGTCTTTATTGTCACATGATGTATGGTCTACTGGAGGAAAGAAAAGAGAATATACTGACCCTCTCTGATGTAATATCTGCTGGTAAGAACAATAATGATTATGTTATACCAGATAAGAGAGAAGACGTCTTGGATGTTCTTCATTCATTGCACTCAATTGGTTTGATCAATGTTCTCAAAAGTGAAGACAAGGTATGGGTTGTTGTGAATAAGGGTATACTACTAACTGAGGTGGATGGGATTCTCTTTGCTCCAAAGACATTTAAAGAACATGTTGACATTGCTAGCAATACTGGTATTGTTAGTGTGTCTGGTCTGACTAGACTCTTCCCTGAATATGATCCTGACATGTTGATCTGTTTCCTAAAGAACATGGAACTTTGTCAAGAATTGGATCCATCTTTCCTAAGAATGACAAACTTAATAGCAGGAGATAGAGAGGAGACAGGAGACTGTACCTCAGAGACTCAAAGAAGAGGAGAAAGGTTGTTGTTCTTTTCATGTCTTTTGTCTACTGATAGACCTAAGAAGATGACTAGTGAAGTGTACCAGTTCGGTTGGTGTCTACAGTGTACTAGAGAACATGATTTCTTTCCTCCTCGATACTTCCATGTCCTCTCATTACATCTTGCTTTTAAAATGGCTCAGCCTCAAGAAGGTGACAAGTTAAAGCGACGTTGTACATTTTGGAAGAATGGACTTTATTGGTTTAATGGTCATGGTGTAGGATCACTGGTAGAGATTGTGGATGAGAGCCAGTGTGTACTAGTAATGATGTCCTGTGAGAAAGGTTACAGTGACAATATGGTGTCTCTAAGAAGAGATGTGATAGGAGAGGTAATGAGTGTTTATAAAGAATCTTGTCCCAGTCTAGAGGTAAAACAGTTAGTTATTGGTCATAAAGAACTAGCCTATCCTGTGAATACACCAAGAGAAAGGACAGTGTATAGTGTAAATGATATACTGTCTGCTATTGACAAGAGAGAAGAGTTTTTAGTAAAGTGTGATGGTAGTAAAGGTGAAAAGGTGAAGGAGATCCTAGCTGATGAATCATTATCAGATATTAGTAACCTGTCACTATTAGGAGGACGTGATATTAAGGTAAGAATTAACACACACAAACTGTTTGATACATTGATACAAGCACTAATAATCAAAAGGTCATATCTTAAAAGTTATTTTATTTCTTATCAATTACTCAGTAGTCTTTGTCATAATTGTGGGTTGTCATTGTGTGGCTTTTACTACTAATAATATATACTTGTACATCTGTTAAACTCACCTTTCAGCAATACACTACTGATGTATATCACCTTGATAAACAAGCACAGTGACAAATATCATTATTATTGTTATTGTATAGGAATTGATTGAAATATCTGAAGAATTCAAGACACCATTGACTCCAATAAAGCTAGGTATGTTATAC